CACCATAACAGCTATAACAAAGACTCTACAACAGATAACAACATTCACATAATACAAATCCACAGCAACACCATAGCTACACAGCCGAAAGAATAACATAATAGACAAAAAATCAGTTTTTTTGGTAACACACTTCATAGTTATTTACACACAATATATTGCCGATAATCTTTGGGATTTCTTTTAGTAACAAATTTCACAATTTTTTCGGACTGTTTGGAGTTTAATATTGCAGAAAAAAATCTCAAAATTTGATAAACAATACATATCAAGATAAAAATATTATTTTTCAATCAATCCAAAAAGCCTTACCAAATTAAATTGTAACAAACTCAATTAATATTGGTAAAAACATTATGTCACATTGATATGACACCTGATATTCAAAATAAAAATTTAATTGTTGACTTACTAATATAAGCAATATCAATGGGCCCCACATGTCAACCAATTTAATTGGATTTTGGTAACAAATTTGATCGGGTTTTGATAACAAATCTAGAATTTTGGTAACAAATTTGATCTTTTTTTGATAACAAATCTCTGATTTTGTTAACAAATTTGATCTGATTGTGATAACAAATCTCGGATTTTGATAACAAATCATTCAAAATATTGGTTTTTTTTGGTAACACACTTCATAGTTATTTACACACAATATATTGTCGATAATCTTTGAGATTTATTTTGGCAACAAATTTCACAATTTGTTCAGATTTTTTGGAGTTAAATATTGCAAAAAAAAAATCTCGAGATTTGATAAATAAGACATATCAAAATAAAAACATTATTTTTCAATCAATCCAAAAAGCCTTGCCAAATTAAATTGTAACAATCTCTATTAATTTTGGTAACATTATGTCACATTGATATGACACATAATTTTCAATAACCGACAAAATTCGAGACACATGTAACACGCTGCACATTTTTTGTTTTTGTTTTTGTTTTAACAAAAATGGATAAACATATTTTTTGAAATCGATCGTAATCACATTATTTAAGAAAATAAATCCTACAAAAAACATGACATAAATCAATTTTGAATTTATATTTTATACCAGTATTTTATTGATTTATGTAATCTACATTATCCAAACTACTAATGGTTGTTACAAATATATATCTAGAAAACAAGTAACTACTCAAATAATGGTTTGAATAATAGGATTGATAAGCGTGATCTTATTTCTTAAGCTTATCCTATCGTTTTTAACTTGATATTTTGTAACTATATCTGGTCTATGGGTCTGTGTAATGAGACACGATTGGTTGTCACAAAGCTCTCCACTCACGTTTTCGAGTGTAAGATACTCACTGGCAATCACGCAAGTGATAAAGTGTTGATTCCAAGAATGACTATATTTCCTTCTGATGTTAGAATTCCTTTCAAGTTTCAGCGTCGGCAGTTTCCCATTATGGTTTCTTACGCCATAACTATAAATAAGAGCCAGGGACAATTATTTGCATGTGGGCTTATTTCTTAAGAAACCAGTATTTTCTCATGGCTAGTTGTATGTTGTTGTCTCCCGTGTCACAAACATAAATAGTTTGAAAATCCTAATTTGTGGCGACGATTACGTGTCAAAGAATCAAACCATGAACGTTGTATATAAAGAAATGTTCAATAATATATAGATTTTATTTTCATTATATTTATTAATTATTAATGACATGATCTTTTCTTTAGTAAGTACTTTGAATTATTGAAAATTGCTTTTTAAAAGAGACGTGGATAGTAAACCCACGTGTATCGCACGGGTACTGTACTAGTGATATATTAATTAACATGTCAACCTTATGACTAAAATGAATATCAACTAGTTTCTAACCCCGTGCATTTGCACGGCAAGCCATATGATATAGGAAAAAATAATAAAACAATTTAAACAATAGTAACAAATCATAACATAATCATTGAAAAAAAGAGAAATATTTAAGAAAGAGAAACTAAATATTATGAAAAAATTCTTTATAGAAAAGTATGTGGTTTTTCTATCGTCAGAATCTTCATCACCACAAATCATAATATTCAAACCCCTCCGACTGGTAACTCTAGAAAGCGCACGTACAATTGCCCATGATTAAATGTAGGGCTTTTCAGTAGTAAGCCAACGTGCGATAAAGACTGTCCTTAACTCTTATTAATTTCCATAGCATAGGAAACCATGAGAGGTAACTGCCTACGCTGAAACTTGAACAGTACCCTCAAATCGGATGGTATGATTGTGAGCCTAGTAATAAGAACATTATCACCAGCTATTAAACTTAAAGATGTTATGATTTTAGTTGTCTAAAGAATCTAATTTGAAATTGTAACCAAATATCAATTAGAAAAGTATTTAAGAATTTAACAAATAATACCTATAAGATAATATATAAAAATAAATGTTGTGTTTACTTTTACCCAAATAAACAAACCAAATAAACAAACCAAGAGGCAAGTTATTGGGCCAAATATAATTATTGGAGCAGCATTTACAACATTAAAATATATAAGTGTAATTGGGCCGACATTTTAAGCAAAAAAAAAAAAAAAAAAAAAAAACCAAATTGGATATATTTAACCAAACCCGTATAAGCTCTATTTATGAGCCTCAAATGTATATATTTAACACAACCCATTTCTTAAAATCCAGTCAGGAAAACGTAGTTCATTTTTCTTTACGGGTTTGAACTTTAAATAGCAGCAAACCCTACTAACACGTCAATATCGCCATTTCTTTCGATTTTATGTCGGGGCATCTTTAGTATTTTCTCTCTGACTCAAAACGAACCCTATTCATTTTTCTTCAACAGATTAACAAATCTTTTGTTTCTATCGGCGATTAACGCTCCAAAATCGAAAAAACAACTGAAAATATATTTTCGAGCCTTGATAAAGATCGAAATATCAAGATCGTCCCAATTTTACAAAACCGTTTTACTAAATTATAGTAAATCGGTCCAAGTCGGGGGATAACATCATAGATCTGTTCAGATCTATAGTTTTATTGTTTTTAATTCTATTTTTTATTTGTTTTTCAAGTGCTTTCAGCGTTTTTTTTATTTATTTGTACATGAGAATTGGCCCAGGAGGGTTGTTGGCCACTGTTGCTAGCACATAAATTACTCGCCGCGGTTTTTCCTCCAGATTTTGTAAATATATGTAATATTACAATAAAACATTTAGTTATCTAAGATTATCAAAAGTTATTTGTTCCGTTTTCATAAAAGAATTGTAAATAGTTAACAGATCTAGTAAGAACTTAACCAATTTCAATTTATTTTTTTAAAAACAAAACGTATATTGGCTTTCAGTAAATTATTTTTATTTTATCTATAAAACTAACATATCTGGTACAAAAATTAATTTTTATTTGCATTTTAAATAAGTTTATAAACAAATTATAATATATTTCAATGTTTTTTTTTTTTTTGAATAATTCTGTATACGTTATTGTATACATGATAGGTTAACTTTGAGCGGCGGTAACAGAAAACAATGATTCAACATGAAGTAGTAACAAAGGTAAATTCATTTTCCAATTTAATTTGCTTTCATTTTGTTTTTTATATGTCAAAAAACTAATATTTTTACTGTTTGTTTTACATATATATGTGTTCGAAATAATCGCATCTAATGTATGTTAGATCTGTTTACTCTACTGTACTTTGAAGATGTATGTTAGATCTGTATGAAATGATCTCATCTAATGTATGTTAGATCTAATGTAACACATACATACAGTCATTCTTATCCTACTCACTCCTATTTATTGTAATCTGAATCTCTGAATCTGCCACCTCTTCTAGTATTTTTGAGTTTTTATTTACTGTTACTGATGTTCAACATATATATCTTCGAGTGGATAAGAAGACAACTGAAATCACTTTGAACACATCAGATAAGTAACAAACATTCTAAAGTACAAAATATCTCTTTATTATATTACAACATTCTAGTTATTATTGGAATCGTGCTGCAGTGGATGAAGAAGAGTGTACCATCAATACACAACATGTAAGATCTTTTGAGTGTATGGAGCAGCAAAGGTATTTATCAATATATATCACCGAAATATTTTACTGATGGCATCATTTCCATCTTGTGTGCTTTCTTGTCTGCTGCGTTTGCTTGTCAATTTGGTATATCATGATAACCTCTACATGCTGACTGCATTGTATGATTTTTGATAGAAAAAAAAATTTTGCTGTAATGAGGGAATTTTTGCTCGGCAGCTAGATTAGTAGTGAATGGAATGAGTGTTAGTGAAATTCAGATGACTATTTATATAGGAAATTTTCAATAGAGGCAATCAATAAAAATAAATTTGATTGATTGAGAAAATGGTAATGAATATAAATATATGTTGACTGCCAATAATTTATAGGATTTTTATAAATCAGATTAGTATTCACATTTACTTTTTAATTATTACAGTTATTTGTCAGATTAGTATACCAAAAATAATTCAATTTTTTCAAGTTCATTATCCCGCCTCAAACTTTGTGTTATTTAAAATTAATTGGCAAGTAAAAGTGTGCTAAATCATGGATATTATATTTTAATAATTAAGTCTACATTATGATTTTCTTTGACTGTAACAAAGTTGTAGGACATTTATTTTTTCAGATTATTATACCACATTTACTTTTTAATTATTAGAGTTATTTTTATGATTTGTATACCAAAAATACCAATTGTTTCAATTTCATTTTCCCGCCTAACTGTGTTTGGAAATGTATTTAACTAAAAGTATTTAAATTGATAATTATAATTAATATGTTTTTGGCATACTAAATGTTGATATTTATTTTTTTTCTTGATTGCAGGAATTGCAAACCCAAAGGAGCTTCTGTTTTTTTTATTATTTATAATTTGTGTTTATGGTTTGTTGTATTTTGGGTATTTTATTTTTTATTTGTTCATCAATTTATTTAAATTTACTATGGAAACCAAAATATATGATTTAATTATAATTGGGATGAGATTAAAAAATTGATTATTGATTTTTGTGCCACCTAATAAAATATTCAAAAAAAAAAAAATGGGAACATTTTCAATAACTCATAATAATGCCATATTAAATTTGTTTCCTATTTTACACATTTATTCATCCCACAAATTGAGCTTTCCATTACAAAAAATAAAAAATAAAAAACGAAAAATAAACAAAATGTAACTGAAATGGGCGGGAAATGAAAAAAGTGACAACTAGGTAAAATTAAATAGGTTTTCTTTAATGTTTTGAGCTAGTAATTATATATATATAGAAATGAAAAATTGATGATCCAACCCTATTATTTTTGCCAAAACGTAAAAACCTTATAAAAATGACTCAATTAATATATGTGTCCCGTGGCCATCCACTAATATTATCTAACTTATTATTATATACACATATACAAACGTGTAAAATTTTGTTTGTATTAGTGGAGATGTACATGAATAGATTACAGACTTGACCGTATTTATTATTTTATAATATTTGAAATGGAACGTGTTTTACCATTGTCTATCGACCATTAAATAAAATAATTCATTATTCCATCTTCCCAAAAGCTCTTCCCGTCTCCTCATATATCTACTTCACACTCTCTCTCTATGCGATTCTCTTTTTGTTCTTTTTTCCTTACAAAAGAGATTGAGAAGCAAAAGAAATATCTTTTCGTCAATAACAAACTTTGCCTATGAAAACTTGGATTACACAGTTCTGAAGAGTATTTTCAAAAAATATGGGCTCATGCGTTTCGGTTCAGAACGAGCAGGAGTCCGCCGTGGACCTCCATTTATCAGACGGGCCGAAGAACGAGAAGCTCTTGACAGCGTCCGCCGTCAAACAAGAGGTCGATGCGATCGGCGGTGGAGATCATGCCGTTGCTGACTTGGCAGTCAAGTCTGGATTCTCATCTCGTTTTCGCAGAGCTGGTAATTTGTTGGGTTGGTGTGTTTTCTTATTTTCCCTTGTTTGGGGTTATAGCGCCTAATTTTTTCTGTATAAAATTTCTGGCAATTTTTTTGTTCTCTGTTTTGGTATGGGTTATTGGATTAAGGAGCTTTTCTTCTACGGTTGATTATTGTTATTATTAATTTTCGTGGTAAATAGTGTTAGTTTTCTATTGGGACAGACCAGCGAAATTGCCTCTTTGTTTGTATGTTTACCTGTCTCTGTATATCAACATTATGTGATACTTTTCCTTTAGTGGTGATTAAGTGGCTTCAACCTTTTTCTGGAGATGGACATTTTTTTTTTAAAAAAATAAAAAAAGAAAAATGATCTACGGTCCCTTTTTGTTGGGAAGTTTGAAGGGCTATTTTTCCTCTCTCCCTCGAGCTTACCTCAAGGTTAAGGGAGTCGACGTCATACATTTTTTAATAAAAATGCATACTTATGCTATGAAATTTCATACGTTTGCTCATGTTATTTTAGAATATAACTTATCAATTTAATGTGTGCACATCTATTGATAAATAGGTTTGTCTAACATAACATGGCATCCTTATTTTTAAATTGCATTTGAGTTTTCTGTGGTTTCCATTCTTTTGGACATTTTAAAATTGATCACTTTCTTGGTATTTATTTGATATTTTGCTTGTGAAATTATGTATTTCAGTGTTGAAATGTACAGCTCACAATGTATAAGTTTGATTTCTGGTGAAGAGTTAATGCAAATTCCTTGTCTTTGAATAGTCGTCCTCAAATGTCTTTTGAAATTAGCTGTTGATCTAATAATGTTACATAATTGTTCCGATGGTCCAACCGGCTGTATCTGATAAATTAGTCCTGCACCATATAACTATGGCTGCATTATTTTGATTTGCTGTCTACATTGCAGAAGGAGACGAAACATTTAACTAACAAATTATTATATTCATATTGCCATACTTTTTTTTTTTTTTTGANAACTTCTTCTGTTTATGTATTGTCTATTTTCTTTTTATTAACAAGATATATAGGTTGAAAATAATATGTTGGATTGAGGGCCATGGAGCAAATTAGTGTGTAGTTATATACCATCACAGTCTACTGCAAGTGAATTAAATTTTATGCAATATGTGCTGATCATAATATCAAAGGACTTGATTTTTGAAAAATGCTTCAATATGTCATTTATCCTGTCAAATTGAGTGAGTTTATTTAGAACACATTAATAGACTATAAATTATTAGCCCAATTTAAGCATGTGTATTACAACAAAATGACAAATTCATCATTTAGAAATCCTTGTACCTCGTTGTGCACGCCCATTTTTTTTTTTGGTTAATTTTTATGTAGGCTTCTTTTCATGTGTTTCTGATCTGAGGTGTTTCCATTTCCTGCAGTCAGCAAAGATGAACAATTTTTTGATTCTCAACCTTGGCTTGAGTCGGACTGTGAAGATGACTTTTTGAGCGTCAATGGTGGTAAGAAAAAATTCTACATCACTGTCAAAGTGGAGATTAGGTTCTCCATGCAACCCAAGAATTGAAAATAAACTTGGGCTTTCAAAAATTACGTGATGTCTCATATTACATTTCATCTTTTATTGGAAAGTTGTACATGCGAACTGGAAATAATTTGGCATGAATGTTTAAAGTACGACTGGTCAAGGGGCCGATCAGTTGCTACATTATTTGATGGGTTAATCACATAAACTACACTTGAAAGTTTTAGACTAATTATAAACAGATCTAGTTATGTTTCAAAATTAATATCCCAACATTTCTTTCTATTTAACATTTTGCATCCACAACGGGATACTTGCATTATCCTGTTTTACAAATTTCAAGTTTACAACCTCATGAAGGAGATATTTGTTCGGTCAATAGAGGGGGGTATTCGCAATTTCCAAAGATAACCGGAGTCTTTTGCAATTTTCCTTTCCCACCCTTTTAAATTGCAGATTTCACCCCATCTCGCGGAAGTACTCCCGTGCACCACAAATTGTCCTTAGGAAATCCATCAGTAAATAATGCCTCCTCGATGGAAAAGGAAATTGATTATGTAACCGAAGCATTCAATCCAGACAAAAAGAAGAGACTCTCTGAACTGTTTAAAGAGAGCCTACGCCGCCAGGACTACTCGGACGAGGAAAACGAAACAAACCTCGAAAATATGAAAACCGAAGCCACTAATACACTGGCCCAACACGAGACAACCAAAAGTGTTGAAGCTAAATCTATGGTTGAAAAAACTCGGGATAAATTGATGATAGCTGATGAAGAGTCGGTTAAGGCTATACAATGTTGCCTTCCGGGTTTTGGTGATAGGAAAAGGAAGACGAACCCAATTTTGGTTAACGGCTAATAAAATGAGCTGTTTGTGGATATTTATGAAGACAATGTACATGGTGAGTGTTATGTTTGTCAAATCTCTTCTGTAGGTGGAGAAGCTTTTGAGTACATATTTAATGTGTTTAAGAATGGTGCAGGTTCCTTGTCTATCTGTGTAAAAACAGTATCATGGTACCAATGTCAAGAGTTAAGACATAAGCTTTTAATATTCACTCTATTTTTCTTTTTATGTTTTGGGTGTCAAACTCGTGGAGAAATTATAATTTATAGCATATGCCAAGTCAAGTTTTAAATTTTAGCCTAATTACATTATATTGCGGCCATCATTTCGACTTTCAAGTTTATGTTCTCATGAGTTAGTAATTTAGTAGCCTAATTACAAAGTATTGCGGCTGTTTTTATATTTTCAAGTTTATTTCCTATTTAAGTGAAGTAACTGATTGGATTAGGTTAGTAGATTATAGCTGATTGAATTAGCTTAGCTAGTTGGTTTATTGTAGCGTTTGCTAAATAATTATAGTAGTCATAACTATGCCTATTATTTACTACAATTATCTTATTGAAAAAGAACTAGATCGAGTTCTACTTAGTTATAAATATAGAGGAATTTACATCCTTCACTTGGAAAATCTGAAAATATTACATAATTACATCTTCTATATAATTATTTATAAAATAACTAAATATGTTATATTTATTTGCATATATGCCTAAAAATCTGATTTCCTATTTACATGGTAACTCTCCTCATATCTCTCTTCAGATCTTGTTTTCTCTCGCCAAATTCTATCCATCGTCTCTCTTCATCTCTCTCCTCTTCAGATCTTGCTTTCTCGCTAAGCCCGATCTATCGTCTCCCTTCATATCTCTATCTTCTCCAAACCTTGCTTTCCCTCCGCTAAACCCCACCTCTCTCCAGATTTACATGATGCTCGATTCTCGATGCTTCCGCGACATCAATTCTATCAGGCCTGAAGATCCATGCCGGTCGTTGTTGGCGCTTCTCCCAAAATCTATGTCGCCATGGCGGTCTCTGGGATTTCGGACGGAGTGAAGGCCGGGCCTGGCGGCGGGCTCAGATCTCCGCCCTCGTGGTGGTCGGGACTTAGTTTGCAGCTTGCGCCATTTCAATCCCCTCTTCCATCTGTCTTGTTTGCCTTTTTTCTGCTCAATGATAGAATCCCTTGAAGCTTCAGTTTTAATTCTTGTTAATTTTCTTATTTATTTTTTATTTTTTTTTTCTTTTGTCCTTGTTGATTCAACCGCCTTCACCGGCCTGAGATGATCGCCGTGTGGGAGCAGCAACTCCAGGCCCGATCCGGATCCAAGTCTTTGTTTGATGTGGTTCATAAACTAAAAATATACTGAACATAAACTAAAAATATACTTATGCTGCACAATAAAAATCTAAATATATACTGAACATAAACTAAAAATATACTGAAATATACTTATGCTGAACATAAACTGCTGAACATAAACTAAAAATCTAAAAATATACTGAACATAAACTAAAAATATACTTATGCTGCACAATAAAAATCAACTGCTGAACATAAACCAAATATATTAAAACTACGCAGTTTATTTCCATGAACAAATACCAAAATATACTGCACATATACTTTCACCTGTTCAATAGCAGCACTACGACTATATATGAGATGTGATAATGAAACATGGAAAGTTTGAAATATGATATCTAACTGATATCCTTCCAAGATTGAGAGCTGAAATTATGGGCTAGAAACATAGAAAGTTTGTTCCATATGGTGTAACTGATATTAGGTATGACTTTAATTACTTTTTATTTTTTAGGTATAAACACAATTTAATTGGTAGGAGTGGTAAAGGTGCAAATATTTAAAAAACGAGTAGTAAAGGTGAAAATTTCCCATAAATATATTACAGGTAGACATTACGAGTATATGTACTAGACCAGTTTAGTTAGAGTTAATTTTATCTTGTAAACCTTTGATAGAAAAGACACGAGAGAAAGATATGGTGATGACCATCTTTATTGATGATGTCGCTGCAAATAAATCGTATTATATATACACAAGTTTAGAATTACCACTATCATAAATATAACTAAGGCTAATACAGTAAATACAAATATAATACACAATAATACCTCCCTTCAAGTTGGAGCATGCAGATTTCGAATACCCAACTTGTCAAGAAAGAAATCAAATTCACGTTTACCAAGCGCCTTGGTAAAGATGTCAACTAGAGGGAACATGAGTAATAGAGTTGAGACCATACATAAGAGCATCACGAACAAAGTGACAATCCACCTCAATGTGCTTAGTGCGCTCATGAAAAACCAGATTCGCAGCAATATGCAGAGCAGATTGATTGTCATAATGCAACTGCATAGGCTGAGAATGAGCGATAGCAAGACAAGACAACAATCCCCATAAACCACTTCAGCCACACAAGGTAGTAGTCATCGCCCGATATTCAGCCTCAATAGAAGAGCGAGCATCAGTATGCTGTTTTTTTGGTTCGCCAAGTAGTAGGGGACTGACCCAGTTGAACAAACCAACCCGAAAGATATCGTCTAGTGAGAGGACAAGTCGCCTAATCCGAATCACACCACACCTAGAGTTGAAGATCACAGTCACAGCGAAAAGGATCCTCTGACCAGGAGAGCCCTTCAAATACTGAACCACATGCCATGAAGTGTCCCAGTGAGACTAGCGTGGTTGATGCATAAACCGAGCAAGCATATGCACAGAATAAAACAACTCAGGACGAGTAACTGTTAAATAAATAAGTTGCCCAACCAAGTGCCGATAGCACTCAGGATCGGACAAGAGAGCACTCACAACAAGAGGAAGATGATGATTCTGCTCCAACGGAAAATCAGCGGGCTTGCGCCCTAACAATCCGGCTTCAACAATATTTTCAACAGCATACTTCCGCTGACAAAGAAAGAAGTCAGAAGCATTCCGGGCAACCTCGATACCTAGAAAGTACTTAAGCAACCCAAGATGCTTTATGTAGAAACAACGATTCAAATAACTCTTAAAAGCTGCAGATGAGCAGAACCACGATGCAGGGTAAAAAGAGAGTAACCATGGTAGGAATGACAGAAACTATAGTGTTTGAGAGTCGTCGCCAACTTCGCAAACCAACAGCCGGGATCCTGCTTCAAGCTATATAGAGAACGACGGAGACAACAAACTTGTCTTTCAACACCAGTATGAAAGCCAGGCGGGAACTTCATATACACCTTCTCATCCAAACCACCATGCAGAAAAACATTGTCAACGTCCATATGGCAACAGTGTTTGACAACAACTACAACCAAGAACATGCAGACTATAACCATTTTGGCGTCCGGAGAAAAAGTCTCATGATAATCAAGACCTTCCACCTGATTGCTCCCCAAAATTACCAGACGCACTTTATAGCTCTCAACAGTACCATCTGTCTGGTGTTTGATCATAAAAACCCATTTGCACCCAATAGCACGTTTCTCAGAGGGGAGAGAAACCACATGTCACGTGCCATTATTTTTCGAGGCACGAATCTCATTATGCATAGCAGCTCGCCATCGAGGGTCGATCACAGTGTCCACAGAACTACTAGGCTAACCAACGGGGGCGAAAACAACTAAGGATGCTCGATGAGCTAGAGAGTAAGACTCACAAGAAACGTAATGTGCTATGGGGTAAGGCATACGTGAGGATGGAGACGGCGGAGAAGAATTAGCGGGGGGAGCAGTCAAGGGACAGATAGTATCAACCACAAAGTCCTTCAGTCGAGTAGAAAGAATCTTAATTCGATGACCACGACTTAAAGACTCCACCGGAGGAGAAGGCACCACCAAACAAGAAGGCGTTGTTGGAGGAGAAGCAGAAGAAGGTGCTGATAGAGGAGGAGGAGAACCCCCCTTGTCATCGGATGTATTCATATTAGTAGCAACACCCTCAGTGTCAGAGGACACAGACGACACAAAGAGCACTGGATGCTCCTCATCATCTGGCTCAGAAGAAATCGGCAACACAGAAGGTAATGGTAGAGAGTCGGACCCAAACGAAGTAGAAAAATAAGGGAACTCAATCTCTACAAACTCCACATCACGAGAGACAAGTAAAATCTGACGATCCAAATCATACAGACTCCACCCTTTCTTGCCAAACGAATATCCCCCAAACACACAACGACGACTCCAAGTATCAAACTTGTCACCATTGCGGTCTTGGTTATGAGCATATCAAAGACAGCAAAAAACACATAAATGAGACAAGAAAGGAGCAGAGCCGTAAAAAAACTCATACGGAGTTATACCATGCAAAACCGATGAAGGGGTATAATTAATCAAATAAGCCACAGTCAGAATATAATGTCCCAAAAAAAGAAGCGGCAGATGAGCCTGTAACCGCAAGGGGCAAGCGACATTTAGAATGTGCTGATGTTTGCGTTCCACACGCGCATTCTTTTGAGGGGTGCCAACACAAGAGGTCTCATGCAAAATCCCTTCATGGCGAAAATAAGAGGCCAAACACAAAAATTCATCCCATTATTACTACGAACAACATGCACCAATTTCCCATATTGCCTCTTAATCATAGTAAAAAATCTCATCAAAATAGAAGCAACCTCCGTCTTATCAGTTAATAAGTAAATCCATGTCCCACGAGAACAATCATCCACAATAGTTAAAACTACCGTCCACCACAGAAGGCCATAACACGATACGGACCCCACAAATCACAGTGAATCAAATGAAAAATCTCATGACTAACAGTCTGACTGAGAGAAAAGTTACGACGATGTTGTTTAGCACGAAAGCAAACGTCACAAGATTTATTCAAACTATGACGACAAGAATCAATAACAGGAAGCTGCGACAATACTTGGGCAGACGAATGAGGCAAACGCTGATGCTACACGTCCACATCTTCTAGTGGGTAAGCACTTCTCTTCTTGGCCTTGGGAAACTCTCTGAACATGAGAGACTGCTACAGAAACTGTCCCTCAAAAGAAGTAGAGACCCCCTTAACTGCTCACCCACGCCAATCACCATTCGCGAAATACGGTCTTGAATAACACACAGTTTCTTTGAAAACTGAGCGCTGTAGTCAGAATGATCCAACAATTGATATAAAGAAATCAAGCTGCAACAAAGACTAGGAACGAATAAAATATCATAAGGAGTGATATGTGAATCTAAATAAACAACCCCAACCTTGCTACCCATAGTCAAAGAATCGTTAAGTAACTGAACGGGCCGAGCGGGATGACACATGGGAGGCCCTACATGGGCATTCGGTAGTGCCGTAGTGGCCGTGGGGCAAGATCGCGGTGGAGATTCGAGACTCGACCCGAAACGGTGTTCGGGTCTAGCTCGGCACATTCGACAATGCAAAATCGGCAACACTGGTGTACGACCAGACGACGTTCGCAATGCGCAAGGCTGCAACGGTGTTGAACTTCCTGACGAAGACGGTGAGAGTCACTGCAGGAGATGGTCGGCGGCGACAACGACGATGAAGGTTGCTCGCCGATGATTGCTTTGAAGAGAAAGCACTCGATGAGGGTAAAAGGGGGTTGGGGTCGGGACGGAAGGGAAATATCAGGAATTTGGGGGGCGATTGTGGTAATAATGAGGAAAACGAAGTGGTGTTTGAGGATTTAGACGCTGAGCATTTGGAGCAGCTTTTATCAGGGGTATTGAAATTTTTTGGGCAATTTTCAAGCAATGTGAGGGGATCAATTGTGTATGGCATATCTTTGGTGGGTGAGGGGATGAGGGGACTTCATGTTGAAAATTACATAAGTCCAAGAGACTTATCTGCAAATTAAAAAAGTTTAACTAATACTACAATTTAGTTAATGGGTCAAATCTGTAATTTATTAAAAATTATTAAATGCAAATATTGACAAGTAAATTGCACAATGTTGTTTGTAGATATGTACATTAAAAACACTATTGTACTTATAAGAAATTATTAAAAATACATGCACAATATTGATGAGTAAATTGCACAATATTGTGTGTAGATATGCACATTTAAAATACCGTAATATTATACGAAATTATAGAATTGTCACCGCTTAAATAGTTTTTTGTTCACAAATTTACTAAATCGACATTGCGCTACAGAAATGCACAATAGTGTTAGACAAAATGCACATTAGATGTAAATGCACATTGGTGTATGCGAAAATGCACATTAGTTGCTGCTTTGACCAATGCTCAAGCCTTTGACCAGTCATAGAGTGTTATATATCACGTCCAACAGCTAGGATCTATTTTTATTTCTTATAGAAAGACTCATTCTCATTTGTTCCTTCCCTCTCTCTACTCTCTCTCTCTCTCTCTCTCTCTGTGTATTAAAACTTATTTTAACGAGATACAACACTATTAAGATTTTGAAATATTAAATTTATATAAAAATTATTCATTTTTGTTATTTTTACTCATAGTTATAAGACATAATATATGTATATTTTATTTTTCTTTGTAATTAATTATTTGGTTCGACAATTGACCCGGTGACCCGACGGTTGAATTTGTGACCCGATGAACTGAAGGCCCGTCTGGGTTTTAAAACATTGGTTGATATGATACCATACCATAAATCTATACCAGAAACAAGAACTTGTAGTAAGAGGTTGTATTGATCCACAAACTGAGCTCAAGATCCAGCAGAAATCAAAATCTAAACTAAAACTACTTACAAAGAGGTAAAAGGAAATATTCTCATGAAAAATTCTATTTCTGTTTTTCAAAAATAAAGTACCAAAGGCAGAAAAAGATTAAAATTCCATATTAACATGGTTGTCTAAATGGCTAGAACAATCCAGTTGTCCTTCAGTCCCATCCACGAGCACTTCAATTCCTATTTTTTCATCTTCAAGTGGGCATGAATAATATTCAAAACTGACTATTGTTCACGTTGGATGGTGGGAGAGGTATTATTATTACCTATATCTTTGAGGTATCAATCTGAACATGAACCCTGTGCCATGAGTTATTCAATATCCCTCTCAAGTCCCAAATGACTTCCACATTTTCAGGCTGCACATTTCCAGCTATATCCACCTGCAAGCAGTTGAACCAAAAAAAGGCCAAGTTATTTTCACGCATGGTTATATTCGTTGGACATTACTCAATTTACCAACTGGAACCAAAAATAAAAAAATAGAAAGCATTTTACAGAGACTGCTAATTGATCGACGTACGGCTTTCACCACTATCTCAGTGCTTTCTGGTATGTTGGCCTCAGCCTCAAATAAAACCCAATCCCATTTATCACTGCTTTCACCATCAGAAGTGTATAGATCCCCAGGTTTCTGATGTTTAAAAGCTTCTACCCAAGTTTTGCCTCCATCAATCGATAAATCTACTCTTTCTATGCCCCTGCCACCTCCTGATACCGAGTAACCCTTGATTGTTATCTGATAAAATTCACACAAGTTTTGTTAGATAAGAGTTTATGTTTCGACAAATTAGCTTTGTGCAATGCATAATGAATCCACAATTTGATTGATGTAAACATACCATTCGAGAGTAAAGAAATGAATATTTAACACAATTGGGAACAAAGAAAACCATACTGACCTTTCCAGGATTTAAAGTGTTAGTGTCATCCAGAGAACATATCACACTCTGCAAAGACAATTCAAACAAATCAAAAATTAATGAAAGAATCCATAAAGATTAAAATGATTTTGGATCGAGTAAAATTTAAGCTCCCTTCAAAGGAAAATAACCTGAACAGGAAAATCCATCTGCGGTCGTCTTGTGGACCAGTCGATATTATCCCAGTTGACTGAAGGCGGAAACATTTTGTAATCCTTTTGCATAAAGAACCCCTACAGATAACGCAGATCAGCCAAAATGAAACAGAGTTAATTTTTTTTCAATATGATCCAAAAGTACAGAAAGTTTTTGTCTCGCCTGACATTCTTCGGCGATAATGTTGATGGAGTCGAGCCATTTCACAGAACGAGCACCAATAACACCAGGGACTATAACACGTAATGGGTATCCATGATCCCTGTTAAGAGGCTTTGAATAGAAAATGCAAACACAAGGATTAGAAACGGGAAATGTTAAGGATAGGAAAATGCATGAAGAGGTTTAGTTTCTATTAGTACCTCACCATTCATCTCGTAGGCTAGTAAAACATCGGCTTCTGGGTTTGTAGCCATACTTAACGGGATCGATGCTTTATATGGGCCCCCATTCTCTTCCTGTTATAACAAAAACAGTAATAGCTCAGGCTAAGTGAACCTTCCTCAAAATCCATTGGGAGAAAATAATATGATAAGGAGCAAAAGGGAGTAAAGTGCACCTTGCACTTGTCGATGCTTATGAATTCGACATGTTTTCCTCCAAGTTGCGATACACGTGACAACTTGGGAATGCCAATCAGTTCAAGTAAATCTGCTAATTTGGCACCACCCCAAATAGCTGAAAAACATATACACTGAGAAAATGAAATAAAACCGTGAACTAAAAATTTAGAAGGAAAGCAAAGGAAAGAAAACTGGGTAATAAAGATGAATATATAAATAATTAAATATAATAGATATGGTCCAATAACATGACGAGGATCAGATAATCAAATATAGCTGCCTGATCTCTTTTGAAATGCATGCATTTTGACAATATTTAACACGCATTGAAATTTTTTCTTGAGGAAACAAATTTCAGAGACAGCCGCAATATAGCTCAACAAGGACCAACCATTTCCTATGGCCGCAATGTTCCATCCAACTCCTTTCACCTTCCTATTCTTGCTCATGGAAGTCCTTCTATTGCCAGCACACTGCAAGCCAAAGAAAGTATTTACAAAGGACCAATTTTCAAAGAGGAGATAGATAGAGAGTCGTTATTCATGAGTTAACTAATAATGAACAATGACTTATCCCCACATGAGACAATGAAAAATTACCTGCAGAGTTGCTGTCACGGCATATTTTGGAAGCTTCCTGTCAATAATGGCGGCAAAAGTAAAAAAGGCTTTCACATTTCAATCAAACAACCAAAAGAAATTCGCAGTAGAGGGGATTATTTATTCACATGATATCTTTCATGTACAGCTCCTTGGGATTGTCTATCAAACCGGTGATTGAAACGCAGTATCTACAGAACCCAAACAGAATGTATCATCAAGACATGGATCACGCATTTACAATGGGTCTCGATAATCTCTAAAAAATTAAAGAAGTGAAAATCTGACTTGTCAATGTGGTCGACGATGGGAATCGGTCCATGGTTCCTTTTGTAGAATAACTCGACGGGTGTAACATAAGAAGAGGCCAAGGCTGAGCGATGAGGCTCCGCATTGTAGGGTTCCTGGACCAAAATCAGCCAATTCATTAAAAACTTTAAGAAATAAATTGAGAAGGAAAGAGGTAGGGAACCTTGGAATTAACGAGAAGAAGAGGGTGGCGAGGAGGTTCGAGGGAATAATTGGACGGCGCTCTCAGTCCCGGCATCGCTCACTCACGAAACAAAAACAAAGAAAGAAAGAACTTTTGTGCATCAAATCGGAGACGATGGTTAAACGAGCAAGCCTGAGGATGAAATTCGAATCCGTAAAACGACATTTTTTTTTTTTTTTTNTTTTTCTGTGGCGTGTATGCGTGGGCGCCATTAAACGACATAGTGCGAGTTTGCGGTGGTTATGAGATTCTCTCATGCCTTTCTTCGTTCATGGTAACTCGTAGCTTCATCATGTGTTAAACATAACATTAGGCTAATTGTAATCTCGTCCACATTCATTCAACTTCGAGTTGGAATGTTTTGATTCTAGGATTGGATTGGACAGATTCCGTTTCTCGCTCATAGTCTGGCTGTGTGGCACTTAGAACACCTGTCATGCTTTAGGTTTAGTTTTGTCTATTATGAAATATAAATGAATCTAAGTTTTAGATGACATGAACAATTAATATACGAACACTATTGAACCAGAAGAATGAATCTCGCTTTTAGTGAATCAAAGTAGCAGCTATTGTACGCACATGTCCGTTTATATCTTACAGAGTTAAAAATTCGCAGTAATTAACCGAGGCCTAGTTCATTTAGGACGATCAGTATAAAACGAACTTCTCCTCCCTGGGATCCAGTGCACTGGTGTAATTAATCAGTCAAGACAAACTGTACAGTTAACACTAGAACCATTCACGATGGGTTATTCATTTTCATCTAAGTTGTAGACATGGCCGCGGGCCGACTCGACCCGCTACCCGGACTGGGAACCAGTCCCAGAACGGCCAGAACATGCCACATAAGGGCCGGTCCGTTGGACCGAACTGCAAGGGCTGCGATTCGGTCCAGGTTCATGAAATTTTTTTTTTGTCCTGGCGGTCCGGTCAGGGCCAAATCGGATCACGGGCCGATCGCCGGCAACGGTTTCCTTATTTTTTAATTTCTTTTTTAAATAATTTATATTTAACGGGTCGGGCCAGGTCAAACCGGACCGACCCGGCAACTTGTCAGACGCCCCCGCGCCCTACCCATACCGAGTATCCGTTGGGCCCTCACGGGCCATGGGTCGCGCCGATCCGGGTACGGGCCCAACGGTCAATTTTTTTTTAAAAAAAAAAGATTTAATATGGACCGTTGGATTGTTGTGATCCAACGACCCAGATCTATTAACCCGCCGACCCGCCGGNNNNCGGTTAATCGGTTTTTAGTTTTGTGTTCGGTTTCCAAAAAAAAAAATCCAAAAAAAAATACCACATCTCCCATTCTTTTTTATTTCATCATATTCTATATTAATTTTCCCCAATTTATTTTTTATTCTTTAAATTAAAAAATATCGAGTTCTCGTGGTGGTCGTGTTTCAAATTCCGGACAGAAACGTAGAAATATCGACACCGGCACGTCTTCCTCGAGACCTCCATCGCCGGAATTTGCGAGTTCATCGATACATGTGGATGTTCCCAGTGTCGCCGATGACATTGATGAGGCGACAATCGATCGCATGTTTGGCTCAATTCATCCTGAGCAGCAAGAGCAGCAGCAGCCGTATCACGACCATTTCGATGATATATTTGGAGCGTCCCTGCCGGAGGTTCAGCAACCGACGCAGCAGCAGCCGGACCGGGACCCGGCCTCTCTCCTCGCCCGTGGCAGACCGGGATCTGCCATGTTCAAACAACATTACAAGAAGGAGGCCAATCCGGAAAGAGGTGAGAATCACTTTTTTGATGTTTGCAACTACTGTCCGATCAATGACAAGAAGAGGTACCATTTCAAAAAAGGCAACGGGTACGGATCGTTGAAACGACACTTACAGACTTGTCATCAGACAAAAGTGGGAAATGACACGGCACAGACGCAATTCCCAAGTAGTAGCGCTGCATCTGCCACGACTTGTACAGGTACGCCAACTTTATTTCAGTACTCACATGAAAATCATAGACGCCATTTAGCTGAATTTGTTTCTGCTTCATCTCTTCCGTTTAGCTTTGGTGATAGTAATTTATATGAACGTTTTTCTCAAATGGCTTGAATCCGGCTGCCCACTGGGTTCCACGTACTACTCTTACTCGTGATGTTCGAAAAATAGTGGGCGAAAAATAAATTAATTTTGCAAGAAACTTTTAAATCTTTAAATCATAGATTATCCATTTGTGCTGATATCTGGTCTGATCATTGGCAAAATAACTTCTATTTGGGAATTACTTGTCATTGGATAGATGAAATCTGGAGTTTAGAAAAACGTTTAATTGTTTACGTTGCATTTCATAAATGACACACTGTTTCTAATATTGCTCGTTTAATTTCAAAAATTTTGGATAAATATCAAACAGGTAAAAAAGTGTTTTCCATTTCGTTTGATAATGCTACTGCAAATACTGCATCTATACGTGAACTTACCGATATTTGCACTCCAATTTGCGGCGAAAGATTTTTCCATATTCGTTGTATATGTCATGTCTTAAATCTCTGTGTACAAGCATGGTTATCATGCTTTTAAAGATTCGGTCACGCCAATTACGGACACTGTTAATGATTTACATAAACGTCCCCATGAAATGAAAGCATCGGGACGATTTTGTAAAAATCAAGGGTTGAAACCTAAAAAATTTCAACCCGACGTTCCTAACCGGTGGAACTCAACATTTAAAATGTTGAGTGACACGGTTCCATTTATGACACAATTGCAGAATTTTTTTAACCATGCAAACCGTAAGGACTGTGATGTTCGAGTGTCAACAAGAGATTGGGAGAACTGTAATGCACTTATTCAATTTCTAGAAACATTTCAAAATGCTACTAACATGCTTTTAGGTGTTTATTATCCTACTGCTCAGCTTGTGTTAAGCAATGTTTTAAAAAGCATTTTTTTGCGCGCTATATCGCGCGCTATAGCGCATATTGCATCAAAAACGCGCTGAAGCGCTAATTATTTCGCGCAGTTCCAATATAGCGTACGCTATATGTGACGTGGCACGCTATACACGCTAAAACGTACGCTATACACGCGAAAACTTAATTGCGGACGCTATTTGTGTTCACCCTTTATAAGCAAAAAAAAAAAGAATAAAAAAAGAAAACTAAAATCAGCGCGTCACAGACTCACAGTCCACAAAGAAACCCCCGTTCACTCATCTCCTTCTCAGCCTCCTCTCCACCGCAGCCTCCACTGCAACCTCCACGCCCACCGTCCACGGTCCACCACAACCACGACCCGCCGCCTCCAGGCCTCCATCTCAGCACCTCCTCACAAACTGATTCTCCTCGGCTCTCGCCCGGCTCTCGTCTCTCGCCTCTCCCTGGATCTCGGCACCCCGACATTGGCTCTCCATACCCGACATCCCCTGCTCCTCGGTTGACTCCATAGGTAACATTTAGTTTTTCATTGGAGATTATGAAATTGAAATTGAAATTGGGTCTTCATTCTCTTGATGATTTGGTGATTTACTGTTTTGATTGAAAGTGGGGTGCCTCTGGACAGGTAAGTAAAAGAGCTTTGATTTATATTTGTTTTGTATCTAAAGTGAGTGGTGGAGATTAAAACTAAACTGGGTTAGATTAACAGTTCACACTATTATAATAGTTAATGACGGAATATTTTATTAAGGATCTTACCAACACAATAGATAAATCTTGGAGAAAACATTATTTAGTTAACCATTTGGAAGATGATAACATATTATTCCTGCGTTGGTGAGCATTATCTAGCAGTAGTAGGTCTGCTACAGTTGCTGATGTTGATTTTTGGGGAGAAGTTTTGGGGAGGAAAACCTCTATTTTCTTAAAAAAAAATGTTCTTAAATTCTATTTGTATGTGACAGGTGGAAACATGAATCCTATTGACATTCATGATGGTGAGGAGATGCAAAATTTGGTGAAACTGGACCAATCATCTTTGATAGTGGCAATCTCCCACACTTTAATAGTATTGACGATGATAGCCAAATTCAATTGGATGAGACCGATTATTTTTAGATTTTGAGTCTTTGCTTCGAAGATTATGACTTTGGGTTATTTGTATGAACTAATATTTGAATGTTGTTTTTTAGATTTAATGTCCAAGTTTATGGTTTAAGACCATTTCAATTATTTATTTACTTGTATGGTTATATATATTATTATTTTTGAATTAAAAGTGAATTGCTCGAATAGCTTACGCGATGCGCTACGCTATTTACGCTACGCAATATAAGGACCAAAATGCGACGCGATGCGCGATGCGCGTTTTAAAACACTGGTGTTAAGTCAAGCTATAGCCATAACGCGGGCTTTTAAGGATCTTTACGACTTGAATTTTAATAAATATGGCTATTTAGTTGAAGAAATGTTAAATAAATGGTTAAAATATTATTATTTCATTCCTGATACACATTTAGTGGCATGTTTGTTAGATCCTTCGGTACGAGAAGCTCGCTTGTTAGAGCAGCTTAACATGTACTATAATTATATGTAGGAACTCCCAATCCCGACTGATGTCCCGACATACAGTCAAAAACCTAACGTACTGTTGCTCGTCGAGCAAGCAAAATATTTGTTGTATGACATGTTTAGGGAAACAGCGATCGCACAAGGAGAACCTCCCAGCACATTTGTTCGTGGCGGCGGCGGCAGCGGCAGCGGCAGCAGGTCTTCTTCTTACGGCGGTTGTCAAGTAGGCGCTTCGAACTATAAGGAGTGGTGGGCATCATTAAATTCCTACAAGAATGCTGGCGTTGAAAGGGCAAAGGGAACTGGATACTATGAGCTTGATCACTACCTAACGTCGAATTTGATACTTACGATTGCTCGTGAACCGAGTCCGCCACTCAATTTCGGTGTCTTGGACTGGTGGTCGAGAATGCAAGGCATATATCCTATTCCTTGCTTGATGGCCAAAGAGATTTTCATCGTCCCAGCATCTATAGTTGCGGTCGAACAAGCCTTCAGCGAGGGAGGTTATATGCTCGACGCACGACGATCGAGGCTTACGCCCGAAAATCTACAAGCACAAAAGCTGCTGATGGATTGGAAGAAGGCCGAACGAATGCAAACGACTTTGTACGTAAATGAAGAAGCGGACGACGACGACGATGCATCCAATTTTACGAGTACGACGAGTGGAACCGGAACAGCAGAAGACGAGTACAACTATTGGAGACAA